CGGCAAAGCCGAGCAGCTCGTCCTCTCCCCTCCTCCTGCCTGCTCCTCCAGGCTCCAGCCAGGACTCAGGAGCGGGGCAACGGTGTGCCGGGACCAGCCACCACGCGACTCCCAAGGATCCAGAGGTGGGGGGGGCAGGCGGGAGGCTGGGAGAGTATGAGGTGCTCGCTGACAGCGGAGATGCAGCTGCGAGGGAGACAAGGCGCTCTGCTCTTCGCTCCTGCCCTGAGAGCAGGACCGCGCTCAAGCCAAGTGAAAGAATCGGTACTGCGCCTTTAAGAGGGAGCTGGCAGCGTTGCCACCCCCACCTCCTCCCCATCCCTCGCACTTGTGCAAGAAGGAAAAGCCCGATAGGTAGGAGGGGGAGAGAAATGTTACCTAGGCTTGTAGTGTGCAAGAGGGAGAGACCAAGAGGCGTTGCCGTACGGAGAATCCTTTGACCATGGCTGCGGGCGGGGGCGCGATGGCACCCCCGCGGGATGCCCTCTTGTCACCCCTTCAGAGATGGCACCCGGGGCGCTCCGCTCCTCCCACCCTTCCCTTCCTACGCCACTGCAAGGGGGTTGAAAAGGAACCCACAGACCGGCAGTGTCTCTTTTCCCCCATGGAAACCAGTTCCAACCCAGCTGAGAGGCGACCGCTGCTCTGTAAAAGGAAACAGTGGCTAGGCACACAAGGCTAGCAGGACAGTACAGTATTGCAGAGCAGGCCAAAAACCCACATGGCGTGGGGGGGGGACACTTCTCACCAGCAAAGGTCCTGGAACCTGGAAAGGAACCTGGCAGGAAAGCAAGTGAGCCTGGGCCCCTTATGCTGGCCCTTGCCCCACCCCCAGCCAGCTACCCATAGGCCTGCCAAGATGGCAGCAGGACGTTGGCCTCCCTGGAACAAAGGTGGGTGGCTCATCTGTCCCAGGAGGCCACGTGGTGTTGCAAACCCTGCCCACCCAAGGGAGGGGATGAGCAGATATTATTGAAAGCCTTTGCAGCTGAAAGAAATCAAGGATGTCCTTGATAGTATGAAGATGGAGAAAGTTCCGGGCCATGACCGGACATTTCTCCTGTGGAATAGTATTGTTATGTACTCAAGTTCTCACCCTGGGCTAGCAGAGGGATACAGTAGATAGTTTTCACTCAGATCCACATACGCAAATAAGGGATTGAAAGTGACATTCAGTGATTGGATAGTTACAGAAAGTGGTTACTGTTGCATTGTAGTGGAGCTCTATATAAGCATTTGGTTGACTCCTAAAAATATGAATTTATTTAAGGATAACTACTTACCTGTATGGAAAGATGTAAAAAAGGATTTAGAAAGGAAGATTGAAATTGTCATTTTAGGGAAGAATTTCTGTGATAAAGATGAATGTGCTACCTAAAATGTTATTTTTATTTCAGACAATACTGGTGATCAGTGGGGTGACCCCTGACCCCAAGCAAGTAAACATGCTGACCTGGGCATCTTCTATATAATTATCTCTCACATTCTTGGTAGCTAAGCACAAGGCCCTGTGGCAACAAAATTGTGTAAGAATAATCAGTCGAGAGAATAAACATATTTCTTTTGAGGGTGGGCGATAGCATTAAAAGTAGATTTTAAATCAAAGGCAGGAAGTAAAGACAGAAAGTATCTTACTCTCATAAAATGAATTGGAACAGTTGTGTGGCATGACAACATGAACCAGAGACAAAAGCACAATTCTAAAAAGCTTATGATGACAAGAAAATATATCAAGATAGACAGTCCTTACAGACCCTCCAAGTTTCCCTATTTTCCAGGGAGAGTCCTTAGGACATCCCTATTTTCATCAGAGAAATGTTGGGGGGGGTGGAGTTATGCAGCCCCTGGGTCATGGAGATGTAACTTTACAATCTTTAGAAGGCATCTGAAAGCAGACTTGTATAGTTTTATTATGTTTTTATATGTGTTGGAAGCCTCTCAGAGTGTAGATACTTGTCCAGGATGGGACACGGTTGCTCCACATAAAAGATTTCCTTCTTGCAAGAATGCTTAAAGCTCATGTGTAGATATGTGTGGATTTCTTGAGACACGTGTAACAATTAACAAATTTTGAGCTGAAGTGTGAGTGTGAGGGACTGGAAGAGCTAGTTTAATGGCACTTATTTATCTCCTAGAACAGGCAAACTCGGCCCTCCAGATTTTTTGGAACTACAACTCCCATCAACCCTGACCACTGTCCTGTTAGCTAGGGATGATGGGATTTGTAGTCCCAAAACATCTGGAGGGCCAAGTTTGCCTATGCCTGTCCTAGAACCACCAGATTTCTCCCAGCACCCCAATCCCACCCACACATAGGCCACCAACCCCAATTGGACACCATGAGAACCTGGGCCCATCAGGTCACCTGCAGAAAAAGGCATGAAGGCATTTATTTTTTATTTATTTTTTTTAGAACTGGCCCTTCTCCTCCAAGAAATGACCGGGTTAAACTTTTTTTGAGTCTCCCAATGGTGAAAGATGAAGTGCAAAGTTGTGAGCAGTGGAAAAACAGCAGTTCTCTTCAGGGAGAAGATGCAGATTACAGTACGCATAAATATAATAGGAAACAGCTTTCTTTCATGAAGAAAGAAGTCACTGTTTATTTTGTCAGAAAGTGATTTCTAAAACTGGTTCCCTTGCATAAAAACAAGTCTTTGCACAGCATTCTGAAAAATTACCCTGAATGGGGTTGAAGTGGAGAATCACCATATATGGTATCCACACTGTCTGGGACTTTGGGAGATCAAGGCCATTCAGGTGATGATAAATCTTCCAGTTTCCCTCTCTGTAGTAATCTGATCGATCCATGTGTGAAACACACCTGGGGGATAATGTAACCCTGGAATTCTGTACAGCACATTGTGTCCTGTGGTAAGCTCTCAAGGCTCTCTTCTTCATATTGTTGAACCTCATGGACAACAGCATTGGTATAGGGCATCCTCACCCTATCTTCCATGCCAGGGACATGGTTGGCACCTCCCACCTCATCGATCTACTGTTGAACTTTTGCTGTAACATAAAACAACATTGGGAGCTCTTTTTCCAGATTTCTGAAACCACTACACATCTGACACAGTGAAAACCTTCAACATTCTCCAGCCGGAAGGAAAAGTAAAACTCTTACTGACAGGAGCCCATCTTTTAACACTTCGGTTTTGGCTTTTTAGTTTGGGAAAATATTTAACTGGAAGGCATCCCTTTTTTTTTTAATGATATTTATTAAAGTTTAACAATTACAGAAAAGAAAAGAAAAAGCAAACAATAAAGAAATTACAATACTTCAAAATAAAAAAATTAAAAATACAATAAAAGAACAATACAGCAGATCAGTAAAGAAAAACAAAACATTTTAAAAAGAAAAAAGAACAGATCCGATATTTGCATATCTTTATCTTTCATTTACTTATTTCCTCGACTTCCTCACACCTCCCTTTTTTGTATTCTAATTCAATTAGCTGTTTCAGCAAATCCTTTCCCTCTTTCTCAAATTTTGTTCTATAATTTATCTTAACACAGTTTACCCTTAAATAACTGGAAGGCATCCTTATGGGAGTTTTAAAAACTTGGTGTGGCATGTAGAACAGAGTGGAAACTTTATGCACTCCCCTCATAAAGTTTTTTTATTGATTGATTGAAATTATATTCCCACTCTTCTTTGCCATCTGTATGGTAGGATGCTCATATCTCTGTTATTTCCAAACCTGGTAAAGACCAAGCCAGCTGGGCAAATTATAAGCTAATTCTGTAATTAATGTAGATACCAAGGTACTAACAATATTTCTTGCCTGTAATAGTAATTCAGTCTGCAATATTAACATTAGAACACCAAAATCAGTTGGACTTTTCCTCCCCAAGGCTGCTTTAAGCAATAAAAGAATCAACACAGCTGCATTTTCTTTTCTCTTGATGCTAAAAAAAGTATCTGAAATATATATATATTTCTGAAGGCAATTTATTTTTGGTACACTGAAAAATGGATTTCTTCATGAATTTATGGATTGGATTAGAATTTAATTTCAATCTTTAAAATTTCTTAATCCCCCCAAAGAAACGGATATTATTGCATGTTTTTGCTGCATGGCTCAATGGCTCCACATATGCATATTAGCGCCAAAGCAAATATTAGGTGAACAGGAGAAATACCCTTGCCCTTCATTCCATCACTCCAATTCCAGCATTTATTTATCTCCTAGAACAGCAAACTTTTCCCCTGTCCCTCAGACCTTGTGTGGAGCAGGACTATATCTGGGGGGGGGGATGAACGAATTCCTATGCCTCAGACTAACCTGATCTCGTTTTTTGACAGAATTACAACCCTGGTAGATGAAGGGCAGCACAATATAGACTTTAAACTGGTTTTGGATGCTATATTAATATATCGCCCAACTACTAATAGGGATGAAAGTGGATTTCATTTTCAGTTTCTCTTTTTTTAATGATCATGCCTGGATTGGAACACAAGCATTCAAATCAGATTGCATGTAGGTATGTGCTGTCGGTTTCATAATTTTTGACCTGGTAATATATTGTGAATCATGATGTGTGTGCGCACGTGTGCCATGCAAAATCACAATGGGGGGGAAACCATGAAGCCAGCCAATGCCTCTACATAGCTCCATCCTTATTTCAGACATTGTGATATATCGGTATATTGCAATATTTACCTGGGGATATTTTGCGATGTTGAAAACCAGATATTGCCCAGCCCTACTTGTAGTTAAACTGAAATCAAGAAACCATGTATACTTGAGAGAATAAAGATCCCCTCAATTTAATCACTAACCCGGAAGTAGTGCTTCAGGTTGAGAACTTTGCCCCAGTATGAGAACGGAAATTGTGCGGTGGCGGCACAGCAGTAGCAGGAGGCCCCATTAGCGAAAGTGCGCCTCACGTTAAGAACGGTTTCGGGTTTAGAGCAGACCTCCGGAATGAATTAAATTTGTAACCCAAAGTACTACTGTATGAGGAAAGCTTTTTAAAACACACACACACTGCAATAGTTGATGATGTGGAACATTTTATTAAGTGCCAATGAGCCCATGAACAGCTGACTGGACATTAGGGATTGAAAGGTCAAAGGCTCTTCTCGTTTGCCATGCTAAGAAAACTTTTAATACCGGTATCTAGGGCTATTACCCTTATGTGAAACTGAGAGGTGTTGAATGAGTGATCTTTTGTCACAAGATCACATTGAACGTCTGATGGCTTTCATTAGAGGAGAGACATTTTTAGCTCTGAACTCCGTAAACAAAGAGGCTAAATCCATATCTTTTGCAGCTCCAACCAGCTGGAAGGTGAAGTTCTGAAGCAGAGTACTGAAGAACAGGAAGAGCTCCATCCGTGCTAAGGCTTCCCCAATGCATGCCCGCTTCCCTGGCAAAGAAAAAGAAGGCACAGCTAACCAGTTACCCAGAGATCTACACAATGCGCAGGAAACCTAGGACTCAGCTCCATTAGTCAAAAAAAACAACGTTTTGAATGCGTTATAAACATGCAATACCAGATGACGACAGAGAGCAAAAAAAAATTTATACGATAAAATAATTTGTTATAACGATTTAATTTCTGACTTATTTAAAGCTTTATTTTTCCTGTATGGAGATCCACTCCTAGTGAATTCATGCAATGTTGGTTTGGGGACTGGAAATAGTGTTAGGTATCATTCATCAAGAAACAAGAAAAGTGGGAAGATAACTTTAAGGACATTTTCTATGCGTTCTGGTCAAACATGCCATGCATGGGGTAAAGAACCCCTGACAGTTAAGTCCAGTCATGGACGACTCTGGGGTTGCAGTGCTCATCTTCCTTTACAGGCCGAGGGAGCCGGCATTTGCCTGCATACAGTTTTCCTGGATCATGTGGCCAGCATGACAAAGCTGCTTCTGGTGAAACCAGATGTGATGGCCTGGGATTCGGATTCTGATGCTGATCCTTAGGAATCCCAGACTGCACAGGATCCCCCGCCTCCATAACCAGCTGAGCCGGGGCTGGGGCATGAGCCTGAAGGGTCCTCACCTGTGCTGGATCCTCAGGTGTAGGCACCAGCTGACTCTGCTCTGACTCCTGAGGTGATGGAGGACCCTTTGGCTGCAGGTGCTCCACTCTCAGTCCCATCAGAGGAAGCTGAGGTTGCCTCTGGGTCTGGTAACCCTCCAGCCTCTCCTGAGCTGCAGAGGCTCAGGACAGAGCGGCGGAGGGAACTAAGTTCCTGCAGGAGGAGTGCTCGCCTCCAGGCCAGGAGAGGCGAGTCACCAGAGGATCGGGGCCGCCCTATGCCTCGGGGCAGATTAAAGCCGGCCAGCCCCAGTCCCAAGTTGCAGGGGCAACATTATTGGTAGCCAGTTCCTGCCTGAACCCTGTCCTGCTTTCCTGCCGGAGCTCCTGACCCCCCCTGACTCCCTGCTTGCAAGCCTGTTCCTGACTTCACCCGACTCCCTGCCCTGCACCCTGCTTCAGCTTTGATGGACTGCCTCCATATTGCACCTTCGACCTGGGACTGGAATCAGACCTCGCCTCTCGGTTGACCCATGGGACCAGCACACCAGAGCAGCGCACGTAAACACTGTTTACCTTCCTGCCACAGCGGTACCTATCTATCTACTTGAACTGGTGTGCTTTCGAACTGTTAGGTTGGCAGGAGCTGGGACCGAGCAATGGGAGCTCACCCCGTCACGGGGATTCAAACTTTCTGATCAGCAAGCCCAAGAGGCTCAGTGGCTTAGACCACAGCGCAGCCATATCTCTTTCCGTACACTGTCTCTTGAAAGAAAGTGGAAATGGCATTGTTTGCACATAAGTTACCACAGGCTTGTATAGTTACCTGCTGAAAAGACTATTAAGGCATCTTTCTTCTTGAACTGGCCTTTCTCATCCAAAAAATGTCCAGGATTGAACTGTTCGGGAGTCTCCCACTGGAGAGGGTCACGGTGCACAGATGTGAACAATGGAGTAACAGCAGTGCCCTTCAGGGATAAAAGATGGCAGATTTACATTATTGGTCTCAATTCATGACTATCTAGGAAATAGCCACACTATGATAAAATGATAAAATGGGGAAGCTAACTTAGAAGAATGGGCTTCCACTAGGGATGAGCAGATTTCCTCTGGTCTGCTCCTGTATTACTCCATAAGTACACACTGCCTTACATTCAACTAAAATACACATTTATGTACCCATTTTAAATCTAAAACACCTTTTTGTGTGCTTTTTAGTGTGCTTCTGTGTGCATTTTCCCACTAAAACATTGATTTTAGTACACATTTCTCCACAAGATACATTTTGTATGCATAGGTCTGTGAAAGACTAATTCTGTTGGTTCATTTTAAAATGTGAACTGAACAAACAAAATTCTCCTCTATCACTAGTTCCTTCAGCTCATTTGCTTAGGCCAACAAAATCACTACTGATCTCCACTACTGATCTCATCCCTGCCTCCATGAGGGCAGTCCAGGGCCCTTTATATGATCAGTTCCTGAAACTGCTCCATTTCTTCTCCACAATTATCATGGCAAAATGCTGGGCCATCATACCTTAGGGAAGGTGAACCCCCTGAATTTTGTATCACAAGACGTTGTACAGGGAGCGGCCTCATTACTTAATAGTGGGTATCGTAGAATCTCATGGATAACTGCATTGGTGAAAGGCATCCTCACACGATCTTCCATGCTAGGGGCACGGGTGGCACTCATCACCTCATCAATTTCCTGTTGGACTTTTGCTGTAATGAAAAAGACTCAAGAGATTTATTTCCTGGATTCAGATTCTGCTTCTCATCTGACAGAGTGAAAAACTTGGGCACTCTCTGACATCATGAAAACTCATGCCAACACAAATTCTCCTCTTGAGTGATTTCCACTCATTCCTCTGTGCCAGAGCCTTACCACCTTGTTGATCTCCTGCTGGACTTTTCCTGTAACAAATATCATTTGGAAAATGTGCTTCCAGAATTCTGAGGTCCCTCCTCTTCTGGCAATGTTCCTACCCCTGGACATAAGTGCCATTTGAAGACACCATGGAGCCCTAAAAACCCTTTTTATTTTTTAACAATGAGGGGAGGTTCAGGCTGATGCAGAATGCTAATGGAAACCTAGTCCTTGGGATGTCTTTTCATGTGTGATTACTAGTGGAGTCCATCATAGTCCCATCCACTTTAAACTTCTCTGGGATATCTAAATACCTTGAATATGTGGCAACTTAGCCATCACCATGAGGCTAGAGATCAAGAAAAAGCTTGTGGTTCCTGTCCCAGCCAAACAAAGGCCAAACGCTGTCATGACAAGGTTTTCAGTTCTGAAGGTGTCACTAGCAGACCTTTGTTCCTATGAGGCAGAGGGAAAGGGGGGGGGGAGAGAGAAAATTTCACTATAAAGAAAGATGGCAAAATGGAGACAGCTTAGCCTGTTCGAATGAGCATCATGGGTGAAATCCTGCACTCACCCCAAGAGGTGTTTAATCCAATCACATCTATTTAAAATAGAATTACTTTAGAAATATAAAGAAAAGCACTTACATATCATTGCTTTACAAACGTTGTGTTATTTGATTACTGGAATGTTAGAGCTAACCAAGCTAACCAAGATTATATATATCTGAAAATATATGGGATCAGAAATTATAGGAATGATGGCAGTAAAAGAAAGAGTAACTGGTTATGTATTTTGTTTGGGCAAAGTAGCTGTCCATGGTACTCATATAGGCTGTAAACTGAGTGAACCAATTTTATTTTTATCGTAAGCACTTGCATTGTTTTGTACAACGTTAAGCATAGACTTTAAAACTGGGCACAGGATACCTCAGCCTAATGAATAGTGATAATAATTAAAAATGTCTTACAAGGAGTGGCCGAGAGAAGTTGCTAGGGGAGGAGGCAAAGACAGAGGGGCACTCTGGTTGGCCTGGTATCCCTTCCCCACATGGACTAGGACATAACTGGGCACCCATGCCAGTGCAAATATTTTTTTTGACCCACATACCTTCTCAGACTTGATAAGGAAACAATCAATATAGTCACGGATGTTCTGAGGATCCAGCGTCTGCCTGTGTACTTTCACATTCTCACGGATGAAAGAACACAACTCATCAGTATCAGAAAAAATCTTTTGGTGCCTTCCAGGAAAGCAGTCCAATATTTTAGGGACAGCAGAGTACAGCTGAAATGAAGATGACACATACAGCCTTAAATATTATGAATCCATCTGGCTCCCGGTGGAGTACAGGATCAGGTTTAAGGTGCTGGTTTTAACCTTTAAAGCCCTATACGGCTTAGGATCCTCGTACCTATGGGACCGCCTCTCCTGGTATGTCCCACAGAGGAACTTACGGTCTTCAAATAAAAACATTCTGAAGGTCCCAGGCCACAGAGAGGTTAGGCTGGCCTCAACTAGAGCCAGGGCTTTCTCGGTTGCGGCTCCAATCTGGTGGAACACGCTGTCACAAGAGACTAGGGCCCTGTGGAACTTGACATCTTTCTGCAGGGCCTGCAAGACAGAGCTGTTCCACCAGGCCTTTGGTCAGGGCGCAGCCTGACTCCCTCCTTTGGCAATCTGCACAGAATTTTTGCTTAATGGTTGCCATTAATTTGATTTTAATTAATTTTTATAATGAAATGTTTTTAGAATGTTGCATTATTTTATTGTTGTTAGCCGCCCTGAGCCTGGCTTCGGCTGGGGAGGGTGGGATATAAATAAAAAATTTATTATTATTATTATTATTATTATTATTATTATTATTATTATAGTATAACTATGCCACAAAGATTCTGGCTGAAAAGTGATAAAGCAGTTGTTGTTTTTAATCACTTATTTTCGAAATCCAGCAGGAACTGCTGAGCTTCTGGTTCATTTTACCTCATTCCTAAGGGCTAGGGATGATGGGGCTTCCCCTGAAGATGACTCAGAAATGTCAACTGGTCCAAAATCCAGATTACTGGTTCGGGTTCTGTTTAAGTCACATAACCTTTGTTTTTAAAAAGCTGCACACGTTGCCAATTTGTTTCTTGGCCCAATTCAATGTGTTAATATTAGTTTTTAAAGCCCTAAATGACTCAGGCTCCAACTACCTGAAGAAAATTATTTTTTCCTTTCCTGCAGACTTCCTCAGGTGCTAAGAGTGGCAGAGGGGACCCTATTGGTTGTTGCACTTCCCTCAGAGGCTCATGGTCTAGGTATTGTCTGTGGCAACCCTTCAGTTGTGGAACTCCCTCTACACAGAGGTGTGTCTGGCATCTTCATTATACAAGATTTGACGAATGCTGAAGACATGCCTTTTCACTCCGGCTTTTGACATCTGAGGTGTATATAAGTTGTTTTCAACCGTTTTTAACTTTGTGTTTCAATTGTTGTAACCTGCCCTGGGACCTTAGGGTGAAGGGCAGAACAACAAGAACAACGACATCCTGGGTAACTTGTTTTAACTGATGATCTAGGCGTGGCTCCCCACACTTAGCAACTCCTCCCACCAGGATACCTCTATAGATGTACAAATGTGGGTGGACTTCCGGGTTAGCGCCATCGGCTAATGGCGGATTCCCTCCGAGCTCCGGAGGGAATCAGCTCCGTAGGATTTGGGTCTTGCCGCTGCGGCGACGCGGGGACCCTCAAAAATCACAGGCGGTGAAGCCTGTGAACCTGGTGACTTGGCGGGCACCATTTGCGCCCCCCGACCTGCGAAGGAGCCTTTTTAAAGGCTTCGGAATGGGGGACGGGGTGAGCGGCGCGGTGCTGAGAGTCGACTGCTTCTCCTACGGAGTGAAGCCGCATGCCATGGTCGGAGAGCGCTGACTTCTTCTTGTGAACAATTGGACTCTAAAACAACAACCCGTGAGTAGTACGGAAATTGGATTTGTAAAGGAAATATTTTTTTTTTAAATTAGGCACGATCGGGGAACGCGCAAACAGGAAGTCCGTCTCCCCTTCTTATAAATAATCTAAAGCAAGAACCAGCTAACTAAGGTCGAGAGAACTTTCTTCTTTTTATTGGGTAAAAGACATTAATTTCACGATTTGGCAGTATAAGTAATCTTACTGGAGGATAAAAGTTAATTTTGGGAGCTGAAGTGCCACCCCCCCGGACCCGGGAGTGATCCGTGAGAGAGCCTGTTGAAGAGGTACTAAAGAGTTTGACAGCTGTCAAATTAGCTGTCAAGACGGAAAAAGAGAACTTTGTTTCTGTTGCTTCTGCTGGTTATATCTGTTACAATTTTGTTACAATTTGTTGAAAACAAGGAAGAACTGATACAAACTAACTTGAATTTTTGGATTTGAACTGGAAGGAATACTAAGTAACCAAAATCCCTCTAGAGGGGGTTTTGGGACATTACAAGAATGGCTGAAGGAGGGGAAATTCAAGCTAAACTGGACAGAGTTTTTCTTCTCTTGGGAAAGTTACAAGGCCAAATTGATGTTTTGGCTACCAATGTTGCAACTCTGGACTTAACAGTACACAAACTCATTGAATTTGATAAGGACTTGATTCAGGAAGTTCATGCAGCTGGACAAGAGGAGAAACTTGAGAGTTTTGAGAGTGTGGAGAAAGAGACATATGTTGTTTCTGAGGAAAAGGAAGGAGGAGACGTAATGTTGCAGATGACAAAGGAGAGCCAGAGGCCTGACATGATGGCTATAAAGGAAAATAAGAATTTGATGACGAAAATCTGGTTTGAATTGGAGATTGAAGAATGGAGAGATCTCCTTATGTGGAGATCTGAAGACCTAAGGATTACAAAATTGTTTAAGGTGGAAGCTGGAGCTTTGGGGACATTTGGATTTGAAAGGAGTAAGAAACAAGATTTGGGCTCCACTTTTAAGTATGGAGGTCTGGCTGGAAGAAACATCGACCCTATAGGGCCAGAGCTTCTCCGAGATCTGGTGCTTAATACTAAAGACTATCAAAAAAACCGGCAGAGAGGAATTGAGAGAGAATTAAGAGCCTCGGACGTGAGATCTCCAGGCTGATAGTAGACTAAGACTGATGGACATTTGTTGGGGATTGAAACCGGGAAAGGGGAGGGGTGGGGTTTGGGAATCCAAAGGGTGCATAATTATAATCTGTCTTTCTTTTTTTTTATTTTGTCTTGTTATAAGTATGAAAATTGGGGAATTTGTGGAAGGGAATTTGGGTCGACTTTAGAAAAAAGTTTTAAGAATGAGAACTGATGTACAAATATTGATGTTTATAAGGTAAAATTGGTTTTTTAAAATGAACTAAATATAAAAAGGTTAAAAATTGGGGATAAGAACTTGTTGAACTAACGAATTTGAATTGGAATATAGGAAGGGGAGGTGTGGGGAAGTCAGGGAAATATGTTAAGTCAGGGAAATATGTTATAGAAACATAAGGATTGTATACTGTATGTGTTTTAATTTTTTTTGTTTTCTTTTTTGACTTTTTGATGTATTAAAATGGAAAATTTCAATAAATATATTGAAATAAATATATTTCAATAAATATATGGAAAATTTTTGACTTTTTGATGTATTAAAATGGAAAATTTCAATAAATATATTGAAATAAATTATATATTGAAATAAATTATATATTGATATATATTGAAATAAATAAATTTATATATATATATATATATATATCTCCTTCATGGATCACTGCCTTGCCGTGGCGAAGGGGCTTGAATAACTCAGAGAAGCTATGAGCTATGCCGTGCAGGGCCACCCAAGATGGACAGGTCATAGTGGAGAGTTTTGACCAAACGTGATCCACCTGGAGCAGGAACTGGCAAGCCACTCCAGTATCCCTGCCAAGAAAACTCCATGGACAAAGACAACAGGCATATAAAAGTTATGACGCTGGAAGATGAGCCCCTCAGGTCGGAAGGTGTCCAACATGCTACTGGGGAAGAGCGGAGGACAAGTACAAGTAGATCCAGAGCTGATGAAGCGGCTGGGCCAAAGCCCAAAGGACGCTCAGTTGCGGATATGCATGGAAGCGAAAGGAAAGTCCAATGCTGTAAAGAAAAATATTGCATAAGAACCTGGAATGTAAGAACCATGAACCTGGGTAAGTTGGATGTGGTCAAAAATGAGATGGCAAGAATAAATATTGACATCTTGGGCATCAGTGAACTAAAATGGACAGGAATGGGCGAATTCAGTTTGGATGACTATCATATCTACTACTGTGGACAAGAAACCCGTAAAAGAAATGGAGTGGCCCTCATAGTCAACAAAAGAGTGGTGAAAGCTGTACTGGGATGCAATCTCAAAAATGATAGAATGATCTCGATACGAATCCAAGGCAGACCTTTTAACATCACAGTAATCCAAGTTTATGCACCAACTACTGGTGCTGAAGAAACTGAAATTGACCAATTCTATGAAGACTTACAAGACCTTATAGAAATGACACCAAAGAAGGATGTTCTGCTCATAATAGGGGATTGGAATGCTAAAGTAGGGAATCAAGAGATAAAAGGAACAACTGGCAAGTTTGGCCTTGGAGTTCAAAACGAAGCAGGGCAAAGGCTAATAGAGTTCTGTCAAGAGAACAAGCTGGTCATCACAAACACGCTTTTCCAACAACACAAGAGACGACTCTACACATGGACATCACCAGATGGGCAGCATCGAAATCAGATTGATTATATTCTCTGCAGCCAAAGATGGAGAAGCTCTATACAGTCAGCAAAAACAAGACCTGGAGCTGACTGTGGCTCAGATCATCAGCTTCTTATAGCAAAATTCAAGCTTAAACTGAAGAAAGTAGGAAAAACCACTGGGCCGGTAAGACACAATCTAAGTCAAATCCCTTATGAATACACAGTGGAAGTGAGGAACAGGTTTAAGGATTTAGATTTGGTGGACAGAGTGCCTGAAGAACTATGGATGGAGGCTCGTAACATTATACAAGAGGCAGCAACTAAAACCATCCCAATGAAAAGGAAATGCAAGAAAGCAAAGTGGCTGTCCAACGAGGCCTTACAAATAGCGGGGGAGAGAAGGCAAGCAAAATGCGAGGGAGATAGTGAAAGATACAGGAAATTGAATGCAGATTTCCAAAAAATAGCAAGGAGAGACAAGAAGGCCTTCTTAAACGAGCAATGCAAAGAAATAGAGGAAAACAATAGAATGGGAAGAACCAGAGATCTGTTCAAGAAAATTGGAGATATGAAAGGAACATTTTGTACAAAGATTTCCATAATAAAAGACAAAAGTGGAAAGGACCTAACAGAAGCAGAAGACATCAAGAAGAGGTGGCAAGAATACACAGAGGAACTATACCAGAAAGAAATTGATGTCTCGTATACCCCAGGTAGTGTGGTTGCTGACCTTGAGCCAGACATCCTGGAAAGTGAAGTCAAATGGGCCTTAGAAAGCATCGCTAATAACAAGGCCAGTGGAAGTGATGATATTCCAGCTGAATTATTTAAAATTTTAAAAGATGATGCTGTTAAGGTGCTACACTCAATATGCCAGCAAATTTGGAAAACTCAGCAGTGGCCAGAAGATTGGAGAAGATCAGTCTACATCCCAATCCCAAAGAAGGGAAGTGCCAAAGAATGCTCCAACTACCGCACAATTGCACTTATTTCACACGCTAGCAAGGTTATGCTTAAAATTCTACAAGGCAGGCTTAAGCAGTATGTGGACCGAGAACTCCCAGAAGTGCAAGCTGGATTTAGAAGAGGCAGAGGAACCAGAGACCAAATTGCAAACATGCGCTGGATTATAGAGAAAGCTAGAGAGTTCCAGAAAGACATCTACTTCTGCTTCATTGACTATGCAAAAGCCTTTGACTGTGTCGACCACAGCAAACTATGGCAAGTTCTTAAAGAAATGGGAGTGCCTGATCACCTCATCTGTCTCCTGAGAAATCTCTATGTGGGACAAGAAGCTACAGTTAGAACTGGATATGGAACAACTGATTGGTTCAAAATTGGGAAAGGAGTACGACAAGGCTGTATATTGTCCCCCTGCTTATTTAACTTATATGCAGAATTCATCATGCGAAAGGCTGGGCTGGATGAATCCCAAGCCGGAATTAAGATCGCCGGAAGAAATATCAACAACCTCAGATATGCAGATGACACAACCTTGATGGCAGAAAGTGAGGAGGAATTAAAGAACCTTTTAATGAGGGTGAAAGAGGAGAGCGCAAAATATGGTCTGAAGCTCAACATCAAAAAAACGAAGATCATGGCCACTGGTCCCATCACCTCCTGGCAAATAGAAGGGGAAGAAATGGAGGCAGTGAGAGATTTTATTTTCTTGGGCTCCATGATCACTGCAGATGGTGACAGCAGCCACGAAATTAAAAGACGCCTGCTCCTTGGGAGAAAGGCGATGGCAAATCTAGACAACAAACATCTTAAAAAGTAGAGCCATCACCTTACCAACAAAGGTCCGTATAGTTAAAGCCATGGTTTTCCCAGTAGTGATGTATGGAAGTGAGAGCTGGACCATAAAGAAGGCTGATCGCCGAAGAATTGATGCTTTTGAATTATGGTGCTGGAGGAGACTCTTGAGAGTCCCATGGACTGCAAGAAGATCAAACGCATCCATTCTTAAGGAAATCAGACCTGAGTGCTCACTGGAAGGACAGATCGTGAAGTTGAGGCTCCAATACTTTGGCCACCTCATGAGAAGAGAAGACTCCCTGGAAAAGACCCTGATGTTGGGAAAGATGGAGGGCACAAGGAGAAGGGGACGACAGAGGATGAGATGGTTGGATAGTGTTCTCGAAGCTACAAACATGAGTCTAACCAAACTGCGGGAGGCGGTGGAAGACAGGAGTGCTTGGCGTGCTCTGGTCCATGGGGTCACGAAGAGTCGGACACGACTAAACGACTAAACAACAACAACAACATATATATATATATATATATATATATATATAGAGAGAGAGAGAGAGAGAGAGAGAGAGAGAGAGATGTACAAATGTGCCTCAGTCTGTTCCAACACTCATTCTCACTTTCAACTGGAATTTCCCATTCTCCTGCAATTGGTGCATTTTGCACAAGTCTTTCTTCTATTTTGTCATCCGCTAATGTGGAAATGTCTGCCATTTTTAATGCATATCATATTGCACAATAGACAGACCTATCCCAGTAATCAACAATTATTTAAAATTGAAAAATGAAACAAGTAAGGCTCCTGTTGGGACAGAAATTTTTGTGGTTCCCTTTACTGATTGTGAAGTTTTATGAGGGCAGTAAATTTCTGGGGAGCAGTTTGTGATTCATAGGAACAATTCTCCATTCCCCCACACCTTCGTGGCTCTTTCTTCAGTAGCTTGGGTACCATTTTATTACATTAGGAAAAACCTGTATGGTGTATTGTTCTGGGGTGTTGTGGGGATGGAAACTGTAGGGTGACATCCATACAAAAAGTGTAGCCCCTGTTGGTGACTGCCATTTTTTGTGGTGGCAGCCATTTCTCTCTTGCAATGTTCCACAGTTATATTGTATCCAGAGGGAAATGGTGGCCAGGCAAATGGGAGGGGGGGAGCAATGGCAAAGTAAAAGGGGGGGCAGGAAAGGAAAGGGAGATCTGCTGCTATTAGTAAACAGCCCAGGTAAGTCTTCCAACTTTTCTGCTGCCTGCCCTGCTCAAGGGTCCAGTTTCTCCCCTGAAATCACTGGAACTTTGTGATTGTGTCAATTTCCATCTCAATCCTGTCAAAGACATTTTCAGAACATTATTTTCATCTGATAGTTAGGCAGGCACACATTTGTGAACCCTTTGTGCCATCATTCATACTCCAACAAGCTAGGTTTTGTTTTTCCTTTTCATGGTAGAAAGGAAAATGTTTGCAACACAGAAGGAACAACCTACCAGTCCCAAGAAAGATTGAAAGAAGTCAACTTGGTTCTCTATAATGCGTTGGTGCTTTAGGAAGGTCTTGTCTGCGTAGTCAAAGCGAGTCCCAAAGATGACTGATGAGATCACATTGGAAACAGCGGATGTGATTCTAGTTGTCGGATCAAAGCCCTGTCCTGTAGGAGGAACCGAAGACAGTCAGCAAGGCCTGATGAAAGTGGACCCCACCATCTTCAGACCCCAATACAAAATTAACTCTAAAAACTGTTTAAACAGCTTGAACCTGGTAGATTGCATTTCCATCAATCCCAAGAACCAAATGTTAAAGAAATTAAAAGTAGTAGTAAAATGCTGTAATCAAGAGGGCTGTGCACAGCTGTACCCCTGACACCGACCTGATGTGAGGCCTGAATCTGGGTCCACATATTGGCTCCGACACAATATTCAGGGCAACCTGGGCAACACTCAAATTGTATCCAGTCCTAAGTCAATTCAGGGGGCTGTGCTACTTTTTATTTTTATTTTTAAACTCTAATTAAACATAATTTTTGGGAAGTGAGAGGCAGAAAAAAGAGGCACTGGGTTTCTTCTCTCCCCCACCCACCCCCTGCCACCTACCCCATCCATAGTCCAAATAATGAATCCCGCCCCCTCATTTCTCTGTCATAACATTCCGCTTAATTAACTCATTTGATGCCAATTCTGCTAGTATTGCCTGCAGCAGAGTTTCAGTTGGCCCACAAGGCCATGTTGACACTAAATAAAAATAAACCCAAGGAATGGAAATGTGTTGATGATTACATGGTACAAAGATGCTCCAACCAGAATCTATTGATGAGCATAGACTGAGCTCACAAAGACAAGAATTATGATGTTGAAGATGGAATTTTGAATAAGTTAGTAAGTATAAACACATTAGTATTACAGTGGTACCTCAGGTTACATACACTTCAGGTTACAGGCGCTTCAGGTTACAGACTCCGCTAACCCAGAAATAGTACCTCAGGTTCTTAAACTTTGCTTCAGGATGAGAAGAGAAATTGTGCTCTGGTGGTGCAGCGGCAGTAGGAGGCCCCATTAGCTAAAGTGGTGCTTCAGGTTAAGAACAGTTTCAGGTTAAGTACGGACCTCCATAACAAATTAAGTACTTAACCCGAGGTACCACTGTATTAGTAAATAGAATCAAAGAAGCCATGCATGGGGGGGAGGGGAGCCACAAGTGTTTATGGGGAAAGGAAAAGGTGTAACAATAGTTGATTAAATGTGGATATACAACTGCAATGTTAAAGGTGAAGAATACATGACGAGTTTTATTTATAGTATTTGAATATTCAAAGTTATGTGTCTTACCTATATCATTTGAATATGTAACGTATATAATTAAATAAATAAATATAAACCCAATAATTTTCACTGAAACAATTTGCACACAGTATAATCTTCAGTGTGCACACCTAAGAAGTGTAGGTAGACTGTCATAGGCATTACTGGATTAGTGGAAAATATTAAGCTGGAAGTTCAACACATGAGTTGGGGTTCACATGTGCAGAGAGTTGAAAGGACAAATGGGAAAAGCTTGCCTCTCTGCAGCCACTGAGCCCGACAGCCACATATTCTAACTATGTCAAAAGCTTATATACTATAGGTGCCCATCCCAATATACCAGTACAATCGAATAAATGCCCTCTCCTTGCCATGGGATAGTGCTTTCTAGGTTTTATTTTTTAATGAGCTAGGTGACCTTTTGTGGCTGCCAGTGCCTCCACCAGGCAAACAGCTTCCTCCTGCACCCTCTCAGACATTGATCTCTTCCCCATTCCAAAGTCTCTCAGTGTCATAACTGTGAATCTGCGCAGCTCTCTCCATTCCATGTCACTAGAGTTGTCTATCCCTGGAAAAAAAGAGAGGAAGGTCATTCCGTCAGTTCTTGACCCAACAGGAACCAGCAGGAAGTTTCTACATGAAAAGGTGGTTCTGGTGCTTTCCACCTTAAAATTATATCCCCATTTGTAGTTACAGTTCAGCAACCAGTTGTTCCCATTCTCTCAATAAGTCCCAGGTAAGATCCTCCCCCTATTGTGTGGGCAGGTGGTCCCTCTCCCTACCTAGCCTGATCACCTTGGCAACGCCTCCCCAGGTGGAATTGGACAACTGGCTGAGTTAGGCGGAGACCTCCAGGTATCCCACCTGGGGAAGATGAAGCCAAGCCTGTGGTAATGGTGCCACATAGGGTAGAGGGGGCTGCACACGACCACGCAAAGGGCCCCCCCCATTTAATGTGGGGAGTGGTCATTCTCTCAATTATCCTGATAAGGTAGGCCACAACAGCCAAGTCCCATGTTGTGTAAGGGATTTTTGCTCTTTGGTAGAGTAAGTACGTCCAGTTCAGCATACTAATGGATGGCAGGAGACATGACATACTGCCTTGCCTGACTCCAGGCCACAGTGTTGGCTGCTGTTGGGGTGGGAAAGTGAAATCATGTCACCCATGTTCAGAATGGCATGCTTTGGCCCAGGAGAGACGTAGCAACATATACAGTTGCTATTTTCAGTTTGCAGACTCAATAAATGGATGATGTTTTGAGTGGCAAGTTTATATTTATGAGTGTTTATGGGTGGGACAGTTTCTCTTGGGGGGGGGCGGGAAAGCAGCTTCTTTGGGGGGAATTGATTTTCAAAAATGGTTCTTTGGAGAAGCGGGCCACAGCAAACAATAATGCCTTGCTTGATAGTGTTTGTCTTTCTTTCTTTCCTAGACATGATGCTTATTATCATGGTTATACAAATAGCAGCTACAGAGAAGTCTGAGCAAAACTGGGACCATGGAGGTTAGACTCTCTCTACATGCCGCCATGGTAACAAAAACCACCTCTCTGAGACTTCTAATTGCCTCTTAAATGCTCTCATTGGTGCACATGGGGAACAAATTGCCCTGAAATGCATATACAGCTTTAGAAAGACACTTTTTGATGGCAAGTAGAGAGAGTCAAGCTTCTCCTTCCCATTGTCTATGGCCCCAAGATTACTCAGACTTCTTTGTGCTGGCTATTTATGAACAAAATGTTAATGGTACTCACACAACTAGTTTGGCCCTGAATTGGGGACTGCATTACAAATCAAAGTAGAGCTGAGCTATACATAAAAAATAAGAACAAATAGCCTACCATGGCCTTTGGTCATTCGATCACTGATGGGGCTGCTAATACGCCCACCAAACTCTTCAGCATGATCCATCAGAGCATCTTTTACCGCATCAAATCCACAAAGCACGACCACAGGTTTGGGTCCCATCCAGACAGTGAACATAGGGCCGTATTTCTCAACCAGCTGAGGGCACAAAGAAAGTGTTATTTAATTAGGCAGTGAAACTTCCACTGGAGTAATTATCTTAAGGAACGGTTGCAATATCTCTTAGGGCACCTGTAGCTTGTTTTGTGCGGGGTTTTGCAGGCATATGCTGCAACATGTCATTGATGCAGTAACAGTGCATTAGTGGCAGAATTCAGCTTTATTAGTTGTTCTGCAATACATCTCAGTATTATTACATTATTGCCATCTGGAAGGATACATTTATTTATTTCATAAAATTTACATCTATGCATTGTATATACTGGAGTGCAACAAAAGACACACACACCTGAACATTTGGGCTATAACTAGGTACAGGATTAGAACAGGAAGCTATGGGACGTGCACTGACTGGAACAAAACAGTGTGTCCACCTCAGAACTTTTGCAAGTGCAAACAGTATTCGAAATGGGATTGTGTGTAACTACTCCAATGTCATCATGAGTACAAATAAGCATGAATGTGTAATAAAAAGGACACCTGGATGGCTCCTTAGAGAATGGGCTGCTAGAAGGCTGTTCCTAAATGAGGTGAAACCACATTTTGAACTGCCTCCATAGAAGAAAGAGAGTCTTGTGAAATAAATCCTATGTTCAGCCACACCAACTTCATCAGGTGTTTGATTCACTTTGCAAGACAGGTACATAAAGAAAAGAAATTTAGCTGCCCCTTTAACAGGTATGACACTGCAATAGGTATCACGTCATATGATCAACCACTGCTTCATATCTCTAAAGCATGACAATATAATTATGTCCAGGCCAATCAATGAACACGGGGCCATGCTTCTTGACATACTGCCTGGTTCTGCTTCAGCGTGTTATTTATCACATTTGGGGACAACTGCCCTAAGTGATCTTCTAACAATTATTTAGGTTACAGTACAATACTGTTATGGAAGTATATTGGAATATACTCCCATGTGACCTGCCAAGCACAAACAGGGTTTTAAATTGTGTAAGAGTCTCCATGAGTAGTGGAGGGTTTTTCACATGTTATAGGTATCATGCACTGGAAGGGACAGGGCTTGGCAATGTGCCTACACTACCCTTTGACTGGATGTATTTACAGATATACCCGAATACAGCAGGCTTGCAACTTAATGGTTTCAGAATTCCATCTTGGAAACTACCCTGTGATCCTCAGATGATGAGCAGTATAGAAATTTAATAAATAAAAAAATTAAGTAAAAATCTAATGTATATTGCTGCTGTTGCTGCTGCTGTGCTTTTTCTAAGGGAATATTGCTATTTATTGTGAGTCCTTCAGTTAGGATGCCTCCAGACTGTCATTATTTTGCAAGAGGGATTCAAGCACATACCATAATTTTGGGTCTGTGCAGTTAACGTAATCCTAGTGCAATAAATCCACTTTAAAAAAGAGGACTTTTTGCTGTTTTGAAAGCGATGGGGAAATACATTGAAAAGCATGGGATGAATAAATGACTATAAGCAACCTGCAAGCTAACCAGGATGAATAAAGAATGAATGAATGCTCATTATCATAGAACCACCCTGCAAGCAAATCAGAACAATTGTTCAAAAAAGATATAACTTCTTTTTAAGTTTTGTGCAAGCAAATCACAATGAATGATGAATGCTGAATAAACCAATGATCTGGAGGGATCTTATGTTGATTCAGGGAAGCTCTAAAAAGCATGCAAAATAGACACATGCCAACAGTAAAAAAACAAAAAACCTAGTAAAATCAAGTAATAAAAAATGCAAATAAAAATAAGGAAAGAGAAGGGAAGCAGAAATCTGTGCCTTTATTATAAGGAAGAATGGAAAAGTATATAAGCAAAAGAGGGAACAATTAACCTTCTGTCCTTCCTCTACACATTGCTTCATTCCAGACAATGGTTGTTTATGCCGTGCCACAGGGACAAGGGAACAGAGAGAAACCGCAACAAGAAACGGCTTTACCTTTGAATAGTTTTTGCTCAGAGGCATGACATCTTTCTGCAGCAGGTTCCCCAGGAAGAACCAGGGAGTGGGGCCTGGAGGTAGCTGGCTTTTCTCCTTGTACATTTTTAAGGAATAGAAAATGAAGATGAAGAGAACCCAGAGAAGGAGCAGAGCTCCTGTTACAGCCACTTCCATCTTCCTCCGAGGCTCTTCTTTTGGTCAAATATATCCAGGAAACTACTTAAGAAAGACAAGGTGAAAACACAACTGCTTATTAGAGCCCCAGCCAAACCCCAACTCCAACCTTCTCCAAATAATCTTAGTTCTTTTATTTCCAGTATGTGTTCCACTAGGAAAGATGGGTTAATCATCAACATAAGCTCTAGACCTGGGCTGAAAATAGGTTAATTTCTATGTCTTCAACATCAAGGTTGGGTACAGAATTACATGTTACTGACAACAATGTACATTTTCTTTAACACAGTCATACCTTGGAAGTCAAATGGAATCCGTTCCTGAAGTCCGTTCAACTTCCAAAATGTTTGAAAACCAAAATGTGGCTTCTAATTGGCTGCAGGAAGCTCCTGCAGCCAATCGGAAGCCGCGGAAGCCCCGTCAGACGTTCAGCTTCCAAAAATAGTTCACAAATTAGAACGCTATGTTCCAGGTTTGCGGCGTTCAGGAGCCAAAATGTTCAAGAACTAAGCTATTAAAAAACCAAGGTCCAACTGTAATATATATTTTTAAACCACAATATCCACATTCAAACACCACCATCTTCCCATCACGGACAACCTCACCTTTTTATCCATCCATGGCCATCCTAATGCTGGTAAGGATGGTAGGCCAGACCCCTCGGTGAGTAGATTCCTAGTCAGATCTGAGCTGGCATCTCCCGATTTCAACCAGCGTCTAGAAGGAATTGCTCTACTTCGCAGCAAATAAATTCTGGAAATGCCACCAAGTTTTGACGGAAATCAAGTGAGCCACCCACCCACCCTGAAAGGAAATATATAACTCTCCACTGCCTTATCTACCTTTGTCTAATGGACTGCAGCAAATCATACAAAGACTGAATAAATTGGGAGAGCTTTCATGGCCAATGAACAAGCCGACCTAAAAGTCACATTGAGCTTGCCAGTCTGGATGAACAGGAAGTGTGTTACGACACAGATAGTGAAGCAATCACCCTTGTGAAAAGAAGCATTAATTTAGACTGCATGGTACAAATAACCGATGTGCAGTCGATATCTGCTATTGAAAACATTGTCAATATTTGGTGTGTTCGTCCTTCATTTTCAGTCACGTTCAGTCACAAGTTTCTTACCTGATGCATCTTCCAGTTTGGACATAGAATATGGATGAAGGAAACAGGAATATTTTCGTAGTAAGTTAATATATTTGAGAAATACTTATTGTCATGCCTGCCTCTAGAACATTTTCGCATCAATTAAAAATTAGGGCTAAGCTTTCTTTGTGGAAAAACTCCTGAGTAATCTTATTGTGTGTTATGTTGCTATCTCAACAAAACATGTAACTAAACTTAGCAAAACGCTATGGTCCAACACACAGCCCAAGGGTCACATGTAGCCCTCAAGGTCCTTTTTGGTGGCCTTTGGCAACATTTGATGCCTCCTCCCCCAGCGTTCAAATTCCTTCCCAAAGCCAGGTAAGCAAGGCGCTGGGCTTTAGGAAGGAGGCATGAAGGCCGGCTCTGACAGGGTCCCAGAGTCCTCCTGTCTCCATCACAAAGCCTAGTTAGTGCTTTTCCAGCTTTGAGAAGGAAGTGGGGGGGCTCTAGAATGCTGCCAGAGCCTCACGCCTTGTCCTTCCCAAAGCCTAGCACCAGGCTTAGGCAGCATGAAGTTTGGTGGGGGTTGTCAAATTTTGGGCTCACTCGCTGAAGTACTCTAGCAGCCCACTTGCAATCAAAATTTGGACCACCCTGTCCAGGTGGAAAAATCAAAATTGGAAACAGAATTGTTAGATTCCAAAATTAAGAATTTGTGAAAAATGTATAACTTGCTGTTGAAATGGAATACTCAGGATGAAACGGTGAAATCAGCTATGATTAAATGGGCACAAGATGTTGGACATAACATAATGATGGCTGACTGGGAACAGTTATGGACCACAGGTATGAAATTTACGGCATGTAATGCCCTAAGAGAAAACTTAATGAAAATGATTTACAGATGGTACATGACACCAGTCAAGCTTGCAAAAAATTACCATTTGCCCGACAATAAATGTTGGAAATGTAATGAGACTGAAGGCACATTCTTTCACCTTTGGTGGACATGCCCAAGGATTAAGACATTCTGGGAGATGATTTATAACGAAATGAAAAAGGTATTTAAATATACCTTTCTGAAGAAACCAGAGGCTTTTCTCCTGGGCATGGTCGGCCAATTGGTGTCAAAGAAGGATAGAATTTTCTTTATGTATGCAACAACAGCAGCAAGGATACTCATCGCAAAATATTAGAAGACACAAGATTTACCCACCCAGGAAGAATGGCAGATGAAGTTGATGGACTATATGGAACTGGCGGAAATGACTGGCAGAATCCAAGACCAGGGAGAAGAGTCGGTGGAAGAAGACTGGAAAAAATTTAAAGACTATTTACAGAAATACTGTAAAATTAATGAATGTTAGAAAAATGTTGGAAGGAAGTTGTATGGCTTTAGTAGAAACGTTATAAGGAATTAAGTATAAATAGATTAATAGAGTATAAAGGAAAAATAAGGTTAGAATGAGTTAAGATTATTATAGGATAGAAAACAGAGGAAGATGGAAAGGAATTGCTGAAATAATTAACAGAAGTGGAATACAAAAAAAAGGGAGGTGTGAGGAGGTCGTGGAAATAAGTGAATGAAAGATGGGATAATGAAATTGTTTGATTTATTTTATTGCTTTTGTTTTGTTTTGTTAGTTTAATGTATTGTATTGTATTGTATTGTCTTTTTAGTGTTTAATTTTTTGGAAAAGTAATAAATATTATTTTTAAAAAACAAACAAATTTTGACCACCCTGAAATAGAACAACATCATCCATGAACAACAGATGGGTAGGGGAAGAACTTTTCTCTTGCTGTGAAATTTAAATCAAATTGAAATTTAATCCAAGCCAGAGGAAGCAGGAGAAAGTTCAACTTTCCTCTCCTTCAAGGGGTCTTCCCCTCAAAGGTATTCAAATTCAGCTGCAGAAAACTTTTTATTGGCATCTATAGCATTAAGTAACAGGTAGAAATGTGCTCTGTTAGTTCTTCCATGCCTGTGGTGAGAAAACCTTTCAAGTAATTCAAACTTCATTAGGCACATCTTTTCATGCATTGTTTCGACGAATGGAGGTGGGGGAGACAAGAAGCATATTTTGAGCAAAAAGCCCAAAAGGCGACTTCCTTCTCTCCACATTCTTCTGCTGCTACCCCACCCCTGACCCCAAGCAAGTAAACATGCTGATCTGGGCATCTTCTATATAATTATCTCTTACATTCTTGGTAGCTAAGCACAAGTCCTTGTGGCAACCCAGTTGTGTAAGAATAATCAGTCAAGAGAATAGACATATTGCTTTTGAGGGTGGGCGATAGCATTAAAAGTAATTTTTAAAGGCAGGAAGTAAAGACAGAAAGTACAGCATTTTACTTTAAAAAAAATGAATTGGAACAGTTGTGTGGCATGACAACATGACCCAGAGACAAAAGCACAATTCTAAAAAGCCTATGATGACAAGAAAATATATCAAGATAGACAGTCCTTACAGACCCTCCAAGTTTCCCTATTTTCCAGGGAGAGTCCTTAGGATGTCCCTATTTTCATCAGAGAAAAGTTGGGGGGTATGGAGTTATGCAGCCCCTGGGTCATGGAGATGTAACTTTACAATCTTTAGAAGGCATCTGAAAGCAGACTTGTATAGTTTTATTATGTTTTTATATGTGTTGGAAGCCTCTCAGAGTGTAGATACTTGTCCAGGATGGGACACGGTTGCTCCACATAAAAGATTTCCTTCTTGCAAGAATGCTTAAAGCTCATGTGTAGATATGTGTGGATTTCTTGAGACACGTGTACCAATTAACAAATTTTGAGCTGAAGTGTGAGTGTGAGGGACTGGAAGAGCTAGTTTAATGGTACTTATTTATCTCCTAGAACAGGCATAGGCAAACTCGGCCCTCCAGATTTTTTGGAACTACAACACCCTTCATCCCTCACCACTGGTCCTCTTAACTAGGGATGATGGGAGTTGTAGTCCCAAAACACTGGAGGGCCACGTTTGCCTATGCCTGTCCTAGAACCACCAGATTTCTCCCAGCGCCCCAATCCCACCCACACATAGGCCACCAACCCCAATCAGACCTGGGCCCATCAGGTCACCTGCAGAAAAAAGCATGAAGGCATTTATTTTTTATTTTTGGAATTGACCCTTCTCCTCCAAGAAATAACCAGGTTAAACTTTTTTGGAGTCTCCCAATGGTGAGAGTCAAAGTGCAAAGTTGTGAGCAGTGGACAGCAGCTCCCTTCAGGGAGAAGATGAAGATTACAGTACACATAAATATAATAGGAAACAGCTTTCTTTCATAAAGAAAGAAATCACTGTCTCTTTTGTCAGAAAGTGATTTCTAAAACTGGTTCTCTAGCATAAAAACAAGTCGTTGCACAGCATTCTGAAAAATCGCCATGAATGGGGTTGAAGTGGAGAATCACCATATATGGTATCCACACTGTCTGGGACTTTGGGAGATCAAGGCCATTCAGGTGATGATAAATCTTCCAATTTCCCTCTCTGTAGTAATCTGATCGATCCATGTGTGAAACACACCTGGGGGATAATGTAACCCTGGAATTCTGTACAGCACATTGTGTCCTGTGGTAAGCTCTCAAGGCTCTCTTCTTCATATTGTTGAACCTCATGGACAACAGCATTGGTACAGGGCATCCTCACCCTATCTTCCATGCCAGGGACATGGTTGGCACCTCCCACCTCATCGATCTACTGTTGAACTTTTGTTGTAATAAAAAACATCATTGAGAGCTCTTTTTCCAGATTTCTGAAACCACTACACATCTGACACAGTGAAAACCTTCAACATTCTCCAGCCAGAAGGAAAAGTAAAACTCTTACTGACAGGAGCCCATCTTTTAACACTTCAATTTTGGCTTTTTAGTTTAGGAAAATATTTAACTGGAAGGCATCCTTATGGGAGTTTTAAAAACTTTGTGTGGCATGTAGAACAGAGTGGAAACTTTATGCACTCCCCTCATAAAGTTTTTTTATTGATTGATTGAATTTATATTCCCACTCTTCTTTGCCATCTATATGGTAGGATGCTCATATCTCTGTTATTTCCAAACCTGGTAAAGACCAAGCCAGCTGGGCAAATTATAAGCTAATTCTGTAATTAATGTAGATACCAAGGTACTAACAATATTTCTTGCCTGTAATAGTAATTCAGTCTGCAATATTAACATTAGAACACCAAAATCAGTTCGACTTTCCCACCCAAGGCTGCTTTAAGCAATAAAAGAATCAACACAGCTGCATTTTCTTTTCTCTTGATGCTAAAAAAAGTATCTGAAATATATATATATTTCTGAAGGCAATTTATTTTTGGTAGACTGAAAAATGGATTTCTTCACGAATTTACAGATTGGATTAGAATTTAATTTCAATCTTTAAAATTTCTTAATCCCCCCAAAGAAACGGATATTATTGCATGTTTTTGCTGCATGTAGAAATGTAATAATAATAACTACTGCTTTATTTTTTAGTTTTTCAGGCAAAACTAGATTTATTATTTTCCTAAAGATACCTTCTGTAAAACAAAAACAAAATATATTGACATAGTATTTCATTTAGTTAGGATCCTTATTATATTTCAAAATTACTGTCATAGCCTTAATTCAGGTAATTTACTGTTTTGAGAGTCACGTGGACTGCAAGAAGATCAAACCTATCCATTCTTAAGGAAATCAGACCTGAGTGCTCACTGGAAGGACAGATCGTGAAGCTGAGGCTCCAATACTTTGGCCACCTCATGAGAAGAGAAGACTCCCTGGAAAAGACCCTGATGTTGGGAGAGATTGAGGGCACAAGGAGAAGGGGACGGCAGAGGACGAGATGGTTGGACAGTGTTCTTGAAGCTACCAGCATGAGTTTGACCAAACTGCGGGAGGCAGTGGAAGACAGGAGTGCCTGGCGTGCTCTGGTCCATGGGGTCACAAAGAGTCGGACACGACTAAATGACTAAACAACAAACTGTTTTGCAGTATCTGCTTCACACACACTTGTAAAGGTATGATCACTTGACATTCCATTCATTTTTGGAGCCTTGTTTTACTTCTGTTCTGTTTACTGTGAATAATTGGCATTGAATGATGGGCAATGTGTGGCATTGAAAAGTGAGGATAGCAACACATTATCACCCATGCAACCTGCTAGCAACTACTAGCTTGGATGATGGGAGCTGATGTCCGAGAATATCTGGATTAGCCTGTTCAATTTCTGCCTTGTCCAGGGGTGCTAACTTTAATAAAATATGGGGGGGGAGTCCTGCCCTGCATAATTGATCACAAGATGTGGCATATGCACCCCATTTGAATGGTAATATCTATCAACTTGGAGGGCAGCCTCCCCAAATATTTTACTGGGGGGCGGCTCCTATGGCCTGTTCCACCTAAGCTTGGAATATCTGGTTTTCCTCAGTACTGTTGGATTCAAATCTCTCAGTGCTTCCATTCTACTTACTACAAATAGTTTTGGAGGCACTGACTTGATCCCTTCTGCTTAGTTTACCTCACTGGATCACTTAGAACGTCTAATGGCTTGCATTTGTAAGCATGCGCTCTTCATTTTATATTGCATATGAAAAGATGTTACGTCCATTTCTTTGAAATCTCCCACCAGCTGGAAGGTGAAGTTCTGGAGCAGAACAGAGAAGAACAGGAACAGTTCCATCCGAGCCAGGGCTTCCCCTGGGCATGCCCGTTTTCCTGGCAGAGACAAAGAAGGCAGAGCCAATCAA